GATTAGGGTTGACATGACAGCAGTGACAGCAGACGGCGGGCCTTTCAGGGCCTGCCACAAAGAAGAGGAGGCCAATTTATTTTCCAAAGCACCAGAAGGCAAGACAAGAAGCAATGGATGGAAACTAATCAAGGAGAAAAGCAATCTGGAATTAAGGAGAAACTTTCTAACAGTGAGAACAATTAACTGGTGGAACAGCTTGCCTTCAGAAGTTGTGGGTGATTCATCACTGGAGGCTTTTAAAAAGAGACTGGGCACTCTTTTGTCTAAGTCAGGGTGTCAAACTCAAGGCCGGGGGCTGGATCTGGCCTGTGGGATACATAGAACTGCAGCCCTCCCAAGCTCCATTTTCGCTGGCAGAGGGTTGCAAGAGGCTGTCACAGCCGAAAATGGCACTTGGGAATTCATTTTTGTTGGTAGAATGTTCGGGCTGCCGCAGGCGACCCCAAAACTAGAAGTGGTGTACTGCCGGTTCACACTGGTTCAGGCGAAGCTGTAGTGGCGGTGGCATAAAGCTCCACCCACCCACCCTGACATCATCACAGACCTTCTGCCCGTGTGCAGACGCTTGCTCCCGCTATAGAACTGATAGTGAAGAGAATAGAGTACCGTTACTGCCCAACCCGAGTGACTTTGAGCTGGCCACGCCTTCCTGGCTCCCTGTGGTCAAACATAACCCTGATGTGGCCCTCAATGAAATCAGGTTTGACACCCCTGGTCTAGAGTCTCCTGGTTTGAGTAGTGGAGGGGATTGGACTAGAAGACCTCCAAGGTCCCTTCTAGCTCTATTCTGATTTTGATTCTGGAAAACAGCCATTCTGACAGGAAAAATAAAATCACCCCATGGCATTGCTCAAGTCAGAAAAGAGAGAGCAATGAAACCATCAATTTTATTGGACAAGAGTTTTTAAGAAGAGTTTTAAGAGCAGTAAGATCCTTATGTGAAGAATTAAGGTTTATAAAACTGAATTTAACTTTGCTCTCATTTAATTTCATCCCCAAGTGCAGGAAGGAGAGATTTCTTTATCCATCATGACTGAGTATAGCATTTCCATCCTATTAGGATGATAATCCTTTATTGGATTTTAAAAAAAAAACACTATTCTTCGTGAGGGCCCATATTTCTATCATTTGCAAAATAACTTGCATTTTGGATCCTAGGAATAAATACAAGGTGTTATTTCCCCTGTTGGCTTCAGAAATGCAATCCACCACAGTCTTCAGGCTGAGACTTGAAATGCAATAAGTCTTCTGCTGTTCTCATAATTACTTTTTAATTGAAGAATGAAATCCTAACAGGATTTAAAATTGGGATTATCATATTGTAGTGCAGAAGTCATTCTTTTGAGAAGGGTGGTTAAATACAAGGCATGTTATATCTAAAAAATAATTAGACAAAATACCCAAACAGCCATTGTTATTCTAGGGTTAATCTGAGTGGAAGCACAGATTAAAGTTTTATAGAACTAGGGCTTTAAAAGTTTCTACCGTCAGCCTTTGCCTTAGTAACTATTTTTAATGTTAATCCACTTCCCTGTGTAACTCAAGATGTAGGTTCATGCACACACCTTACCAATTCTTCTATCATGACACAAAGGAGGACACACAGTGAGATAACTTTGGAAATAAAATGAACCTTCGTATAATACACAAACCTGAATCATACAGAGATTTATTTTCTTCCTGAGGATGTTTCCCTGCATGTCCTCATTTCCTGCAATAGCTAGGTGTGTATCCACTATGAAAATAAATTAAATTCAAAGTCTTGTTGAGATATTCATGTCATTACAGAATCCAGGAATACCTGCTGGTACTCTTTCCCAATTGTTTATAATTTTTTTAATGTATTGGTTTATTATGAATGATAATGGTGGTTAGACCAGTGGTTAGAATGCAATATTGCAGGTTAACTCTGCGGACTGCCAGCAGTTCAATCCTGACTAGCACAAAGTTGACTCAGCCTTCCAGGATCCAGATTGTGGGGACAATATGCTAACTGTGTAAACTGCTTAGGGAGAATCATTATGAAGCAGTATATAAGTCCAATAGCAATAGCAATAGCAATAGCAGTAGACTTATATACCGCTTCATAGGCCTTTCAGGCCTCTCTAAGCAGTTTACAGAGCGTCAGCATATTGCCCCCAACAACAATCTGGGTCCTCATTTTACCCACCTCGGAAGGATGGAAGGCTGAGTCAACCCTGAGCCGGTGAGATTTGAATAGCCGAACTGCTGAACTGCAGTCAGCTGAAATAGCCTGCAGTGCTGCATTTAACCACTGTGCCACCTTGGCTCTGAATCCTAAAGTGTGCACATTTCTCAGTAATAGATGTGACTACCACATATTTCATGTGAAAATTATCAATACAATGTCACTGACTTATATTGCTGCAGTTCTCTATAAGTTCATAAAACTGGCACACAACAAAAAATTATGATGTTAATACGGTGATATTTGACTTTTGGAAAAAAAATTTCTAAGAACCAAAAAGTTCTCTATTAATTTGAATCCCAAATTAATGCAGTGAAATTCAACTTAATGAATTAATTGTGCATTTTTGTTCTGTTATAGCTCAAGGATGGGACATAAAGGTAGTCATCTTGAGCTTCTTTCTCATTTTCTTTATTTCCTATGCTTAAAGTATGCCTTTGTTTTTGCAGCAATTTCTGCATATTTTTTTCATGGCCCTTTTATCTGAATTTCTGCACGTTCTGTAAGATCTGAGAAAGGAGGTGTGCTCCAGGTGTTATCCCTTAAACAGTGCCATCTGAGGGATCTGATGGGACATTGCCTTCTCTGTTCATAGTACTTGTCCTCTGCAATTACATATTTCTAGACCAGAGTTGTCAAACTGGCAGCCCGCGGGCCAGATGCGTCACACGCAGGCCATGCTAATCCCAGCTCCGCAAAGGAGGAAAACGTTATGAAACGTCACATGATGGCAACATGACACCGCAAGTTTGACACTGGTGTTCTAGAGGCTGGAATTGTCCTGAGCTGGAGTTGTCCTGACTTTGCCATCATTTAAATTGGCCTTAACCCAAATACTAGATTAAGAAGTGTGTTCCTTTATTGATGTGTTTGGTGTTTTAATTTCTGGATTATTGCCTTTTGTTTGTATTGGATGCCATTGTTTTTATCTTACATATTGTACAGAATCACTATGAATTGGGAGGCTTATACATTTTATTAATAAATACATAAATATTTGGATAAATTTAAGCAAAAGCAGCAAAACAGAAAGAAAAAAAAAAAAAAAAAGGATGGAGTAAAGAGGTAGAAGCAACAAAAAGAGAGAGAGATGAAGATTAGGGATAGGGAATTGGACAATGAACTGCAGAGACAGAGATATTTAAAAAAGATTTAATATATCAGGCAAATAGTCTTTACAAGAAACATCTAATTTTTAGATTAAATTTCAAACATAACCTTGCATTTAGAGAACATTATATTACAGAGCTTTACTAATAGTTATTAGCATTTAGAGAACATTATATTACATCTTTATTAATGGTTACTAATCATTAAATAAAGAAGGTATTCTTTGTCCATTTAGGCAGATTCACTCAAGTTAACTTAGTCTAGGTTTATTACAATCAATGGATATTATCCTGGTAACTGTTCAAGCAAACTGAATATTTTATGCACAATCGCAGAAAGTCAAGTTAGCCTACAGTGAATCTCTGAGAAAATTTAAGAATGGGCTCTCTGTCCTTAAGACCAGCTGGGTAGGGGTGGCTCAGTGGTCATTGGACTGGATGGGCGTGGCAAACTCAACATCACTCACGTTGATGTTACAATATAATAAGGGTTAATTGGAGAGGCAGTTTCTGTAATCAGGGCAATAAAGATTAGGCTAGAAACAACACCAGAATGTTTCCTTCCTGCCTTCCTTACAGGATTAGCCCTGTNCTGCTGATCTAGCAGTAGCCTGCAGTGCTGCATTTAACCACTGCGCCACCTTGGCTCTAGTCCAAATGCTATTGCTATTTGCTGGATTTATACTTTGTCTTTTTTCCAGTAACTCAAATTTATTTTTGTAGTACATGTAATCCTTGCCTTACAACCGCAACTAGGAACAACAGAATTTCCATTCCATAAGCAAGACCGTTGTTAAACGTACCTGATTTTACAACCCGTTTGGCCATAGTTGTTAAGCAGATCGCTGCATTTGTTAAGTGAATCATTAACTAAATTTGATTTTTATCAGAAGTCAGCTGGGAAGGATACAAATAGCAACAGTAATATCAGCATTTAGACTTATATACTGCTTCACAGAGCTTTACAGCCCTCTCTCTAAGTGGTTTACAGAGTCAGCATATTGCGCCCAGTGATCATGGTCAGGGAGAGAGACAGACAGAGACAGACAGAGACAAAGAGAGAGGTAGGGAGACACACACAAACACCCACAGACACACAGACACACACATAATACACATACACAGAGAAAGTGAGACACAGAGAAAGGGAGACAGATAGAGAGAAAGCGAGATACAGAGAGAAAGTGACCCAAACATACACAGAGAGAGACAGAAAGAGAGACTGACAGAGAGAGAGAGAGAGAAAGCGAGAAAGAGACACACACACAGATACACACACAGAGAGAAAGTGAGACACAGAGAAAAAGAGAGAGAGAGAAAGCGAGACACAGAGAGAAAGTGACACACACACACACACACACACAGAGTTTTGTTGACAAAGCAGTGATTTAAACATAGTTTCCTTGTTTCAGTCCAACATCTTAGCTTCTATCCCACATTGATTCTCTTAGCCTAAGGAATACCATTTTTTTAAATAAACATACACATTTAAGGACCTTCACATGTTTTCCTTTCTTATTAGGTTTATTTATCCAGAACATTCCAAAATTTAACAGTTCTAGTAAAAAAAAAAAATCTAACCATTCATATATTTTAAGCCTCAGTTGTGGATTTTTTTTTAATACCTCATGAAAGAAGATGGAAGATGGCAAGGAAAGAACAAGGAATACTATTCTTAAAAATATAGAACTTGAAAAGGCAAGTTTTTGGGGCGGCTAGTAGAAGAAACTTTTTTTGGGGAGGGGGGGCACTCTTCACGCATTATCACTGCCGGCACCGGCAAATCTTCACAAGTCTTAAGAGGAGGCAGGACAGGCAAACAACCACGTTCATAATGGCCGTGAAGATCAATCCCCACAAGGCTACCTGCTTGTCTACTTGGCCCAGCATGACACACTCAAGAATTGGGGGACAGGCCCTTCCCTCGAGAAGACACCGGAAGGTCAAGTCAGACACCAACGGAATCTGCAGAGCAATTACAACCCAGAGGAAAACCAGCTCCATTACCAGGAGAAGAATCACCAGGCAACCAAAGGCTGCTACGTGCCAGGTAGACGGAGGAGACGTCTTGGCATCCAAGGGAGCTGCGTTCTTTTCTAAGATGGCTTCTTTGTGGGATGAGTGAGATGCTGCAGCCATCATGGTGCCATAATTGGGGCCATCAGGGTTGCCTTGCTCTTCCTCTCCTGCGCTTGCAGCTTTTTTCTGGTGCTCGGATACAATCTTTATCAGCCCCATAAGCCCCACAGGGAAGAGGCCGAACAGGAAACCAAGGCCCCACGCCGAAGAGACGGGAGAAGAGAAGTGCTGGTTGAAGCAGAGAGCTTGACAGAAAGGCTGAAGATGTTCCTCCATTGTTGTCTTCGTCCAGTTACAGACCAGGTCTGTCTTGGCAGAGGACCAGGGGTCATTGGCTAGAAGGAGGGCCACCAGGCGTAGGCCCAAGAGGAGGTACCATGGGGCCAGGCCAAGACCTTCCGATTTTCCTCCAGGGAGCATCATCGTTGGCTGAAAGAGTCGGGCCAGACCGGTAATCAAAGCTGCCATCTATGGAGACAAGGGAAGGGGTAAGAGAGAGATAAGTCTCATTAAGAAAATCGTTTCTCCTTCCTTCCTTCCTCCATCCCTCCCTCTCTCCCTCCCTCTATCCCTTAGTCCCATTCTCTTTTCCTTCCTTCCTTCCTTCCTTCCTTCCTTCCTTCCTTCCTTCCTCCCTCCCTCCCTCCCTCCCTTTCTCCCTTTCTTCCACTTCTTCCTTCGTCCCACTCTCCCTCCCTTCCAGTGGTGGGTTCCTACTGCTTCGGACTGGTTTGACCGAACCGGTAGTGGTTTGGCAGCCTGGGTTGTTGGAACTGGCAATGACCCAGGCCTGTCACACCCCTGAACTGGTTCTGTGGGTGGCACTGTAGTCTCCACCATCTAGTTTTTTGCTTCTGTGCATGCACAGAGCAATTTTTATTGCACTGTGCATGCGTGTGCAGCGCACTCACAAGCGAACTGCCAGTAGTGACTGCTGGACTCCACCTTCCTTCCTTCCATACTTCTTTCCTTTCCTTCTTTCCTCCCTCCCTTCTATCCATCTATCCATCCACTCCTTCCTTCCTTCTCTCCTTTCCTCTCTCCCTCCCTTCCATCTACCCTTCCTTCCATTCTTCTCATTCTACTTTTGGTCAGATGGAAATCATTTCACTGTGATTGGCTAAGTCTTCCTTCCTTCCTTCCTTCCTTCCTTCCTTCCTTCCTTCCTTCCTTCCTCCCTCCCTCCCTCCCTCCCTCCCTCCCTCCCTCTTCCATAGATTCCCAAGTATGCAAGTATGACAGTGCTCAAGGGAGAGAGGTAACTATAAAACAATTTTTTATGCGTTGATTCCAAACTGTTCACATGGGATTGGGAGGTGGAAGCCTTGTTTATGTCTGAAAATGACCACACTCTCCCTGAACAGAGAATGAAGAGATTGTAGCATTTGGTGTCTTGCAGACTCTTTTTTCACTCAAGAGATGAGCTTCTTACTAAGTTACAAATTAGGATCAAGGTTAAAGGAGGGAGGGAGAAAACTAAATGAAGCAAAACAAGAGAAGAGGAGAATTGACAGGGTTCATTCAAGCCCCTGCTTGTCCTTTAGTAGCTGTTTTTTCTCTTCCAGGATTTCTGTTCCTCAAGTAACTGAGGCACAAATCCAACAAGTGGTATTTTTCCAAATATTTGGAAAATATATCCCAGCAAAACTCTTCCAAAGTTCTGAGGGAGGGAGGGAGGGAAGGAAGGAAGGAAGGAGCCAATCAAACTCAACCAATTTTTATCAACTGACCAAAAGTAGAGCAGGAAGAATATTATCCAATCACTGCACTATCCCTCCAGTGTAAAATTTAAAAAATCCCCCACAAATCCTTCTCTACACACAAAAAAATAACCCAAATTGTTAGTCCTTCCTTAAACACCACTTTTTTCAGGGTTTGGGTCTCTCTGTGTTTGCCGGGTAGTTTCCAAAAAGATCTGAGAGTCTAGGTAGTATGAGAAGAAGTTATCTGAGGGAAAGTTAATGATAAAATGTGTAAATAAAAATATCAAAATCTCAGCAAAGGTTTGTTCCTCTGTTGCATTAAAACTGTCTAAAATTAGCAAAGATAAACTATTAATTTCTGACTAGAGACCAAACCATGAAAAATGTACTAGAGGAAGCAGGTGATACAGGAAGATTAGTGGTAATATTCCAACAGGTTTATACAGGTATACAGGTATACAATTTATAACCAAATTGAGCCCAAAATTTCCGTTGCTAAACAGGACAGTTGTTGAGTAAATTTTGCCCTATTTGCCACGACTGCAATGATTCGCTTAACAAGAAAAGTTGTGAAACGGGGCAAAACTCAATTAACAATTAACAGTAACAGAATTTGAAGGGACCTTGGAGGTCATCTAGTCCAATCCCCTGCTCATGCAGGAGATCTATACTAGGGATTCGAACCGTCAAACTGCCAACCCTTCTGATCGACAAGCTCAGCACCTTAACCACTGAGCCATGTGGCCAGGCTGTCCTGCTTAGCAACAGAATTGTCCTGCTTAGCAACAGAAAAGGGGATGCGGCAGAAGGTCAGCAGTTCAGCAGTTCAAATCCATAGAGCTGCATAACAGAGTGAACTCCCATTACTTTCCCCAGCTTCTGCCACATAAAAAATGCAAGTAGAAAAATAGGGACCACCTTTGGTGGGAAGGTAACAGCGTTCCGCGCGCCTTTGGCATTTAGTCATGCCGGCCACATGACCACGGAGACATCTTTGGATAGTGCTGGCTCTTCGGCTTTGAAACAGAGATGAGCATCGTCCCCTAGAGTCCGGAACGACTAGCACATATGTGCGAGGGGAACCTTTACTTTTACCTAGCAACAGAAATCTTTGGCTCTGTTGTGACAATCAGTTTTTTAGCTGCCAAATTTGCTGGATTTTACATCTTCCACATGAAAAAAAAAACTTTCTCCACATTTATACTGCCTTTTCCTTCCTTACCTCAAATAATAGTAAATAAAGAGCTTTAGGTAGACTGGTAGAACTAGGAGCTGTTTACGTGGAAGGACCCAAAATGCAAACAATTGCAACTTTTCAATTTTAATGAATCCTTTCCCCTTCTCCTCCTCTTCCTTCACCCCTTTTCTAAGACAAAGGAAATGAAAATACAAGAGGATTGCAAGTAGTCTAGACTTGTTTCCCCACTAAAGAGAAAAAGCAATAGAAAGGAGAAAAGCAGCCACTTTGCAAAGTTAAAACTTGGAGCAGGATTTAGGAGACAATCCAGAACACAAGCTGGGCTTTTTCATTGGTTTGTGAATAATCTCAAAATTCACAACAGTTGCACCTAAGCAACCCAACTTTCTTACCTTCAACCCATTCGACCAAGAGAGGGACTCTGGGTCAGCAATGATTCCCTTGGATTAAAGCATGCATGTGAAACATTTCTCTTTACCGTCCCTCCTTCCAGTCCCCTCCTTCTTTTCATCTGCTTTTGTATCCTGTGTCCAACAATTCTCTTAATATTCATCAGAACATTCTACATTGTGAAATTCCCTCCCTGTGGAGCACCAGAGTTTTTACCTTTACTTTTTATCTTTACTCTGTTCTCGGTGTCTTTCCTTCCACCTTCTTAGACTTCTTCACTTTGTTGGGTCGGCCATCTGTCTGGTACTTCAAGATAGGAAGAGTATTTATATTTGTTCCTGATTATCCGAATTAGGATGTGCCGCCTAGCGAGAAGTGGAAAGCTGAACTGAAACTCGCTTCTCACGAGTAAGAATAGCTGCTCTCCCCATCCATCCAGCTGCACACTGGAGGTTGCCACTTCCCCACAAAGAGACGTGAACAAAGAACAATGCAACTTCATTCATTGGACGCCCTCTTCTCTTGTGAGCTTTTATGTGCTGTGTTTTCTTTTTTCATCAATGGCCTTCCCATGTCCAGCCCAGGAATGGAAGGAATGAGCTAAGACCCTGGAGAGTCTGTTTTCCTCCCTTTTGCAGATGCTTCCCAGGAATGGATTCAAAACAAGCCTCTAACAAAAGCAGAGATGGGCCAGGTTTCACAGAATAATGGCTACAAATCAGATTCGGCCCGTGATATAAGTACGTCTCCTTCTCTTGAACTAAAGGTGAGTTCAACAGAGTAAGAGAATAACTGCGTTGGAAGGGACCTTGGAGGTCTTCTAGTCCAAACCCCTGCTTAGGCAAGAGACCCTATACCAATGTTGGCGAACCTTTTCAGCATCAAATGGTGAAGTGGGAATGGGCGCGGGCATGCGCTGGGGAGCACAGGAAACCAGAAGAGCAGCTCCCTGGCACACTTGCCTGTCACCTGGTCTTCCGGTTTCTGGTGCGCATGCATGCATGAAGACCAGTTGGCTGTGCACATATGTGCACCAGAAACCAGAAGAGCAATGGGTGACGGCTGGTGTGTCCAGAGAGATGGCTCTACGTGCCACTTCCGGCACACGTGCTATAGGTTCGCAATCACGGTCCTGTACCATTTCAGACAAATAGTTGTCTAGTTTCTTCTTTAAAACCTCCAGTATTGGAGCAAGCCATTCCACTAATTAATTGTTCTATCAGGAAATTTCTCCTTAGTTCTAGGTTGTTTCTCTCCTTGATTAGTTTCCATCCATCCATCCATCCATCCATTGCTTCTTGTCCTGCCTTCGGGTGCTTTGGAGAATAACTTGACTCCCTCTTCTTTGTGGCAGCCCCTCAAATATTAGAACACTGCTGTCATGTCTCCCCTAGTCCTTCTTCTCATTAAACTAGACATACCCAATTCTTGCAGCCGTTTTTCGTATGTTTTAGCCTCCAGACCCATAATCATCTTTGTGCTCTTCTCTGCATTCTTTCCAGAGTCCCAACACCTTTTATATCATGGTGACCAAAACTGGATGCAGTATTCCAAGTATGTTCTTACTGAGGCATTATAAGGTGGTATTAACACTTCAGGTGATCTTGATTCTATCCTTCTGTTGATGCAGCCTAGGACTGTGTTGGCTTTTTTGGCAGCTGCTGCACACTGCCGGCTCCTATTTAAGTGATTGTCCACCAGGACTCCCACATTCCTCTCGCAGTTACTACTATTGAACCAGTACCACTTAAACTATATCTGTTTATTTGTTTCACGTCTCAATCTATGCCTCACCAGAGAGAAATGATGAAAAATGCATGTCTGTGGGCATTGTGGCAAATACTGGAACCCCAATGGCATGATGAAGTCACTGTGCATTATTTTCAGCACTGAAAAGAACATCTGGATTTCTGCTTGCAAACCAGCCCTTGAAAGTATTTGGCTTTGGTTCATCTCCAAGCCCACATTCTGAATATAGATTATGTGATACGTGTGAAAATAACAACTTCTGGTCCTTTTCTCAGAGTCATCCATAGCTCTATGCTATAGAACAGAAAATCCATGTTCTCTGAGAACTTACTTGAGTGTATTTTTTGCATATCTTGCCTCATGACACACCAGGGATGTGTATGGATACAACTGCATCAGCTGTCTCCAAAAACCTTGACCCAGGTTCTGTCACAAAGCCAGAAGATGGGATTCAAAGCCTGACTCTTCAGAAAAAGAGAAGAAGGAGAAGGAAAGAGTCATAGAGATTTGAAGTGATATGTTTTTAAGTAGCTCCCATTATGTCAGTTTTCTCCAATCTGGTGCCTTCCAGATGCATTGAACCATGGAGCATGTCCTTGAAACATGCAATGAAACTTGCAACAATTAAATGGGGAAGGCAGGAATGGGAATCTTGAGGCCCCTCACTCACCTATGGCTACAAACCGTCTTTCTTTCCATTTCTCCAATAAGCTCCATTTATAGACTGTGCGGTAGCCACACAAACTGGGAATAATAAAGCTCTGAACCACGCTGTTTTCCAAGAATATTTCAACAAATAAGGCATTTAAAGCTGACCCTCTCTATTGGAGGAGCCATTCCTTTGCGGGAAAGTATTCATTGGACAAAGAGAATTCAATACAGGACAATGAACCAGGGCTTAGTGTGTGGAGACTAGAGAAGCATAAGCCCCTGGATGTGGCTGCAAAATAATAATAATAATAAAAAAGATTTTCTGGAACTTTTATGCAGTGATCTTGCAGATGCAATTACAACAAGGAGAGAAATCAGATCCTGGAAAGGAAGGTGCTTAATAACTTGCATGCAGGTTTCAACAGGTCCACAAGGTGGCAGTTCCCATATTTCCTTAGCTTGGTTTTGTGTTTGATTGCTTCTTCGAGCCACTTTGCAGAAAGTGCAGAAAGTTAACACAGCCGAGATGCTGCCATATTCCAAATATCATTCTGAAAGCCACATGCCACCAATCAGAACGGGACTGGCACCCCCCAAAAAAGAAACCCACAGCTCAAGAAAGCGTCATGGTTGTAGAGATCAGGATAGGGGGCAGGCGTGGGCTGCTACGGTTCACCCAGGTGCTAGAGAACCCATTGCTAACATTATGGCCAGTTCGGAGAACCTCCAAATCCCACCCTGGCTGGTTCATTTCCAAACCTCCAGTTGGGCCTGTTTTTTGCCCTCCCCAGGCTCCGGAGGTTTTACTGAAGCCTGGGGAGGGCGAAAATGGCCTCACCTGGCCCTCCAGAAGGCCGAAAATCAGCTGGCTGGTGAGCACATGTGTGCTGCAGCTGAGGGCTGGCATCAGGGATATGTTCCTCCTGGCATTACAACTGGTTTGTGGCACAAAGGTTTTTGCACATGCGTGCATTTGCACCTAAAAAGGTCTGCGCATGCACCCAACATTAGAAAAGGGGAAAAAGAGGGGAGGGTTATATTTTTTTTCAATGAAGATTGTTCTGTGCATGTGCAGAACAGAAAATCAAGATGGTTCTCCTGATCCAGGCCAAACTGGGACCTAAACCGTCCCGTAGAGACAGTGATACAGAAGGGCACATCCTGCTGATCCCGGGGACATTGCAAAGCAGTGATGTGCAGTGAGGTTTATGGCTGGTGAGGCACTGACACAATGTGTTTTGGACTTGTGGACTTAAACTCCCAGAATTCCACAGCCAGGCATGCTCAATTCTGATTTAAAGTGACAGCATTTATTTTTCTCCTTTGCAAAATAAGTTTCCTTCTTTCTTTTTCTTTTTCTTCTCCCTTCCCCTCCTTCCTCCCTCTCTCCCTCCCTCCCCCCTCTCAAACACACACACACACAGAGTTGGATTGGAGGGAGTCAGGGAGATCACAGGAGGAGGCAGGAGAACGACGTGCCTCATCTATGTCAGGAATTTTTCAGCTTTTAACCCTTGCTTAACTCTGCTCGAGTGATCATAAAATGCCTAAAGTCAGACTAGATGAGGCACATCGTTCTCCTGCCTTCTCCTGTAGAGGGCGCTTTTTAGAGGCTTTTTTTAACAGTTAAGCACTAAGCAGAGTCATCCACTGTGATTCTGGCAGCAACTAGCTCAGGCTTTTTCCTTTTACATTTTTTTTCTTTTCATGATGACAGTGGTGAGGCTCTGCCTCTCCTGCCTCCCCTGACTGGATGTCACTGTCGCAAAGTCCCTGGTAGATCCAGGAGAAGCCCTTTTTTCCGACGACAAAGAAGCAGCCATTGAAATTGCTGAAAGTTGGGACGGCTCCAAAAACGGAAGACAAGCAAGAGAGAAAGTGTGTCGAATTGGTGAGATAATGTTTACTATTAGATGAGAGAATACCCCAAAAATTAAAAGTAAAGTTAAAACTGAAGACAGAAGATATCAAGCGGCAAGATTAAGTTTGAGTCAAACTTAGTGTGTTATTTTTCTTTAATCCTTTTACTGCTGGAATTTCTACAAACGCTTATTTTTTAAACTGGACTGATTTTATTTTTATTTTATTTTCAAATTTTTCATTCTTTCTCTTTTCAACATCCTATAATATTTTCTTGCTTAAAAATTTCTTTCTTTCCTGGAATATAAAGAATATAAAGAGGGAAGTGAAAATAGATGAAAAGAAGTAACACTGCCACTTAGAAGCTTGGAAATATTGTTTTTCTTCTCTGTGTTTGAGCATTTGATAATTTTGTGCAAAGTAAGAGATGGTGTTACAAGGACTTTGAGTTTGTTTATTGAAAATAATAGTGGGAAGAGCACAGATGTTTATACAGGTGCTTCTCTGGGTACTATCAGAGTGAAAAGCTTGGAGTGGAAAAAAAGATTGCACTGAACTTGGAAAGAGAACAGTTAACTTTGTTTGAAAAGATGTACGTAAGAGCCTTGGCTTTTATATAGTGGCAGTGTGCACTATTGGAAGGAAAAGATCAATACAGATGATGTTGCAACAGGGAAAAGAAAAGGAAATGACATTGCAGATGATTATGCAAGAAATTCAAAAAATACAAGTAAGAACAGAGAGCATTGAAAAGAGATTGGTGATTATTGGACAAAGAACAGAAAAAATAGAAGAAAAAATTGAGAATATTCACCAAACGATGATGAAATTTGAGGATAGATCTCAAAAAACTAAAGAAAAAGATGAACAAAGCAATAAGAAAATTGGAAATATTGACAGTGCGGTTGAAAAGATAAGAGTGGAATATTGGAACGGGAGATCAACAGACTAGAATTTTACTTCAGATTCCAGAATTTAGAAGAAAAAAAAGGAAGAAAATTTGGCAGAAACAATGATAGAAATTCTGACAGAAGCATTGGTGATAACTAAAGGGAAGAGGATAGAAGGAACGGATGAGGGGTTTCGAGCCTTCACAAGACACACAGTGAAATATAAGTTGCCAAAAGATGTTGATATAAGACTTATTAAAA